GACCAAAATGATTAAGCTGTAAAAAGGCATTTATGTACTTTAACTCCTGTAAAAAACCATTTAAGTTAAGTTTAGACACTTAATCTCCAAAAAGATTAAAAAAAAGAAGCCAAAGTCTGAAGTTTTCCACTTTAATCTTTACGCTGGTACATGAAGTTGGAAGAGACCATACCACAGGACAGCGTTTTCTGGTGTATGCCTTGCGCTCTGCCCGCAACGTGCGACCCCCAGAGATAGACGTGGTCAGGGTGACACACGGCCTGCAATGAAGTTCCCGCTGGCGGGTACAAACAAGGTATAATGTCAGAGTTAGAAGATAACATTCTTGTTTTCCTTAAGTTGTACCCATTTCAGTACTTTACCTGTTAATAGTTCTAAAAAAGTTTAATTATTCCTCTAGACCTCCTGGTACACAAACAGAAAAACTCTTAAGTTTTTCTGTAATACTAAAAAAAGTGAGATAAGACTTTAAAGTTAAAGATCTATAGACACTTTAGGCAAAACAGGCTCATAAAGCAATTAACAATTTAGTAAAAACAGGCTACATAATGTTGTTTTTACTTAGTTTTCATTTGTCTATTGATCTTTAAATTAAATTAGACATTTCCACTGGTTTCTTATACTCTTATACACACCTGTTTTCTCCAATGTCCTCCTCTAGTATGGCTGGTAATTATTTTGGTGATTGCCACCCCCTCGAGAAGCCTTGCCGTAAGTGCTCTGTTGACCTATTTGGAAAAGATACAAATTTGGCTAAGTTTTTTATACAATGGTCTCTTCACAAACATTAAAAAGCTTTCAAATGTGTAAAACTTTGCATGCTAAATATGAAAATAATCTTACTGGCCAGTAGTCATAAATCATATATCCTAGTACTTTTCCAAATCACCATGATCTATTACTATAATCTCCTCATGATCATAATATACCTCACAGAAACAACTCCAAATATTAAAAAATAGATGGAAAACCCCATACACAAACAATTTCAGAATGGGAATGTACTTCAATACTGAATTTCAATACCATTGGTTTATGAAATTAAGTTAAATATTCTTACCACTGTAGTCTGCATATCCCTGTCCATATCCATAGTTCCCATAGTTATACCCAGTATAATCATATCCGCCATAGCCACTATAGTTCTGATCACCACCATAGGCACTATTGTAATTTCCATATCCTTGATCATAATAGTTATTAAATCCTTGGTTCCAGTTTTGGCCCTGACCTGAAACAATGCACAATGATTGTTAGGAAACCACTTCTGACCCCCAATTCTAACACAAAATGATGCGTTCTTGTCCCCTGCTCTGCAAATTTTAGAATGCAGAATGGACCAAATATTGTTATTTACTGGATAGAATGTTTTTACTGTTATTAGGGGGCAGAAAGTCCAATTGTGCCAGTATCGAGTTTCTAAATATAATGAATAATCAGTTATCTTTTCCACTGAAGGTTAAGATATTAGGTCAACCTTAAGAACTTCTGAGAAAACCTATCACACCAAGTTTTGTCAAGTAATACTATTTCTCTACAAGTGATGACACTATTTGTCAAAAGTGGCCATTCTTAAACAGATGAAACCAGCTAAGCTAATTTAAATAAAAAAGCAACCCCCTTTCCCTCAACTTGTCATTTTTTTCGTTGTTGGAATAGCTTTAAAATTAATTCAACTTTGCTCTTTCTGGGCTTAGTCTTACTTAGTAGCATATAACTTAAACCCTGGAATCATTACCCAAGAATTCTCACCTCGGCCACGACCCCTGGTACCACCTCTCCCACCAGCTGCAGCACCTCTTCCTCCTTTTTGTTGTTGCTGTTGCTGCCTATATACCTCTTTGGGCTGTGCAACTTTGATTTCACACTATAAACAAATTCCAAAAAAAAAAAATATATATACAGAATTTTACTGAAGTTTTAACATTAAAGCATTTTACTCTTCTCAAATTTGTTACTTTTTTTAAAAGTCCTCAAATTTACATTCAATATATTTCAATAACTTTACCTTCCCAGAACCAATTTGATGATATCTGCTTTCTAACAATTTCTTTACTGGCTCTTCATCTGTATATGTGATAAAACAAAATCCCCTTCTTTCGTTTGTTTTTGTATCCATGGGAAGTTCAATATTTTCAATCTGCAATGAAGAGGCATGTTCAAGATCATCCAATAATAGTAAAAAGCTACCAAACTGTCTCAGAACACCAGGTAATTTCCTAAAAGACATCATTATTTTATCATTAGCCTTAAAAAAGAGTTGCTATATATGGAACATTAACAGTAAATTACCTTTTAATAGCCTTTTGTACCCAGTCCATACACTGATCACATCAAATTATCTGGGTTTTGTGCAAAAGAAATTAGATATTGGTTTTCGTTACAGCACAGAAAGCAACAATTAATTTACAGTCACTGGAAGGCAGTTGAACAGTGACATAATTCTGTCTTCATGAAAAATATTAAGTGGTCCTATACAAACTTAACCAAGGATAAACATTTATGAACACAACCAATACAAGATACTTGTAAATATCAGCGCACCTCTCCAAAGGCTCCAAAATATTCTTTAATTTGTTCTTCAGAAGTATCTGGGCTCAATCCACCCACAAAAACCTTTTTAGGGGGTTCTTTCCCTTTCAAAGCTTTGGCCCTTTTGGGGTCTATCAATTTGCCATCCAGTTTGTGTTCTTTCAGTTCCAAAACCTAGAAGACAAATTTGTTGACAGCAATTAAACCCCATAAAAACTGGGGGGGGGGACACCAAAAGAGGCACAGTGCAGAACACATTCCTACCTTATCAACACTAGCAGCATCTTTAAAAAGCACAAATCCAAATCCTCTTGATCTTCCAGTGACTGGATCTGTTTTAATCGTACAGTCTACAACTTCCCCAAATCGAGACAAATATTCAGTCAGATCTTTCTTGCTCGTATCCCAGCTCAAGCCTCCAATAAACATTTTACTAGAAATAAAAGTTATTTTAAGTTTAGCAGTAACTTAAATGACTGCTTCACTCCTGGAAATTAATCAAATTGTGAAATAAGCATAAGAAAATTTACACTAACTTCAAGCAACTTATTCTACTTTTGCAGACACAAACAACTGACCACAAAAATCTCGAAATTGCATCTAGGGCACCCAAACAGATTACTTTCCACACGGTGTAATGCAAAGTTTAAAATGTGGCCAAGGTTCTGCCAGATTCCTCAAGCTCCGAAAATCCAACTTCCTGAACAGATCACTCACTCACAACTTTCATTAACTCTAGTTCTCAGCTGTCACGCAAACATCCTACCTAAGAACTCAAATGCCACTCATCTATTAGCGCCAAAATCAAGAGTTTCTTAACTGGCTCCGGAAAAGCTGCGAGGGGCAGTAAAAGACAATGAAGAGGCGGCGGCAGCTGCAGCATGTGGTGCAGCTAGGCCGGCCCCTCCCCCCCGGCCCCCAGAGGCGCCTGCGCACTCGGAACTCCGAAGCAGCCGCCCTCCTCCTCCAACCCCTCTGCCCTTCCCCCACCCTCCGTGGGCCTCTCGAGTCATCCTCGCCGTCTTACTTTCCTCTTCCCTCGCAGCTACTGGGGCCCAGTGGGCACGCGGAGAATCGACTCGGGGCAAGAATGGGGGCAGCACGCGGCTCCCGAGGAACGAAGGGCGCGTGCGGCGCGCTGGGGGAGGGGAGGAGAGAAGCGTGCGGTACCCGTCATCCTGCTGATTCTTGCTCGCGTTGATCTTGGATCCCTCTGCGAATTCTTCTATGTTGCTGTACTCGTTCATGTCCTCCATAGTGGCGGAGCTGTCGGCAGTGGGGTGCTGGCGCGCAGTCCTGGTCCCGGCAGCAGCGGCGGCGGAGCGTTGTATGGAGCTGGATTTAAAATGGCGGCGGAAGAGATCCGGGCGCCGCCTGCGCCCTCCCTTTATAGCCGCCCCGCCCGCCAATCGGGAGGGCTGCTGGGCGGTGACGTGGCGCTGGGTCCGGCGCGCCCCCTGCCGGGCGGAGCCGGCAGCGAGGGAAGGGAGGAGTGGGGCGAGCTGCCGTGGCGCCCTCGGCCGCCAATGGGAAATGCTACGGGAGGCTAAAGTAGCGGGAGCGGAGGGGAACAATGGCGGCGGCACATGGGAAAGCCGGGGCGGGACCTCCATCGCGGCCCTCCCGGTGAGGAACGAGGGAGGGGACGCGGGCTTGGGATAAGAGAAGAATCAGATGAGAAAAATAAAGGGGCGAAAAGTCCTGGGGGTCAGAAATCCCGAGCAGCGCCGTCGCGGGGCCACAGTCCTTCTTGCCTTGAGAGCCTTTTGTCTCTGGCGTCTGGTCCGGCCCACTCCTACCAAAGAACCATCAACCTGCCTTTTTGCGCCCTCGGTCCCCCTGTGCGGAGCTGCTGCGGCGGCTGCTCCTATCGACTAGCGCCGGGGCCGGACTGCTCCGGAAAAAGGCGAACTGCGCCCGGCGCTGGCGGCTGAGGCGGCGAGCGCGCTCGCCCACCGCGCGCACGCGTGTTTCGTTCTCGCGCTGGCTGGAACAAGCCGAACAGGAAGGGCGCGCGCGGCGGCCCCTCTGGGCGGCGGCGCAACACCAGCGCCTCTTCCGCTACCACCTCAGGTGCCCAGGCCACACGACGCGGCGGATCTCTCCCGCTGCTCGGCCGCAGCCGGGGTCCAGCACTGCCTCAGTGGCTAGCTGAGGACCCGAGGAGGGGTGGGGTCTGGTCAAATCACTGTAGATATGCAAGAGCAGAGGCAGTGGGCGGGGTGGGGGCTGGGTGCAGTAGAGGGCAAGGGGCACTCACATCCCCGGCGCGCCACTCGCGGGGCTCCTGTCTGCACGTGCCCCAGGCCTCTCCCACTCGTTCTACCAGTCTGCGGAGGGCGCGCGCGCGGCTCCCGCGTTCGCTTCTTTGTTCCCGCCCACGCGAGGCCCATTTTGACGGATCCCGTTCGAGGCAGGCTGGCGGCCAATCGGAGCTGCCGCCATTTCCTCCCCGCCTCTAGGAACCCACGAGAACCGCCCCTTTTCGTGCCCACGTGGTCTCGGCCTGCTTCGCTGCCTCGTTTAGTTCTGACCCCTGGACGGCGGTCCTCTCCACTTGCTAGTCCGCGGAGGTATCCTTTCCTGCTTGCTTCAGACCCCACGAGGTCGCCACCTCCGAGGTTGCTGCGGGGCTCTCGGAAGCCCGAGACTGTCTTGAGGCGCAGCCGGCGCCACCCTCCACCCTCCCTACCAGCATTCCGATTTCCGTGGTAACATCTGGGAGGGAAATGGTCGTGTTTTCGGTGCCCGCTGAAGTCACTGTGATCTTGTTAGATATCGAAGGTACCACAACCCCGATTGCTTTCGTGAAGGTGAGGGGCGGGGAAGTTACTTGTGCTAAAATACAATTGGAAATTTGAGTATTGCAGACTCTGCACTAGAAATCTGAAGCTTAGGAGAGGTGCAGCTTTACATCCTCTGGAATGGAGAAGGAGGAGGTTGCTTTGGATAACGGGCGTGCTTTCCTCATGGCACCATCTTCTCCGTCCTCGGTTCTTGCTCTTGGTTAGATGCAGCTGGATGGGAAGAGATGGTGGTGGTTGCAAAAAAAAAAAAAAAAAGGCTCAGAGGGGCAAGTCCCGTTATGCGTGTGCCTTGTCACCCTGCAGGTGAGCATCCTGATAGTTCTCTGTGGGGCCTGGCGAGGCTGCGGTCGTGATTTAGTGGTTCTTGAGATCTGGTTCCTCAAAACGGAAACACCTAAATGTCAAGATGACATTCCTGGTAGCCTTGATATCTTGGGCGGTAATGGTCGCTCTTCGTTCCTTTCCTTGGCTGCTGTTAGTGACCCAACTGCTCACTGGTATTTTATTCAACTAGGTTTTGTGGTTCACAGCACTGATTTATTGAACTACTAGACGCTTCTAGGTTCCGTGCATTTTCCTCAGAAAAACATGGAAGCTTGAAGCTTTTAGTCAAAGCATCCTCCTGTTAATCAACACTGTGCATGTAATCACAAGCTTACTCTTTTCATTATAGCAGGCTCCTTTCCTAAATGTATTCCAGTCGTCTGCCAGAATACATACTAAATGTTGTCTTAGGCCATGATTTCTCTTTAATAATTCATTTCAAATACAAGTATTAGAGATGCTTGGGAAAATGTAAGAAAAACTTTTTGATTCGAGAAACAGCAACTTGTGTTTTAAATTCTATTTCAGTTTATTTTTAAAAGAACCCGTGAAAAGTGATTTTTCTAGATGTAGGTTATATAAAATCTATACACATATAGAGCTCCAGATGTCACAACTACTTAAAAAGTTTGGAAGAATTACAGTATTTTGACATCTTAAACAAAGATTCTGAAGAAATCTAGTTGGACATTTTTTCCAAGTATTTAATCACACCAAGGACGTCAGGATTGCCCAAATGCTAATAATTGTGTTGGCTTTCTTTTTTTCTTGTGACAGAATGCCTGATTTCTTGGTTTTCAGAGAAAAAAAAAATGATTCCTAATTTTTGTGGTTATAGTATATAGCTACTTTACTTAGCTCCATTGTGGCTCTCTTACTTTCTGCTGTAATCAGGAGATCAGGGTAGTAACAGATTTTTTTTATTAAATATGTACCATTCTTGGAGACTTTATTTGTGGAATAAAATGCCTCATACAATTCAGTTTTGTAACAAAGTTACAGATACCCTTCCCTACCTTTTCTTCCCCACTGCATAACTTTATGATAGGCACTTCTTGAAAACCTTATGACAAACTTATTCTAAATCTGAGAATTAAAATATCCTAGCAACCTAAATAAGTTGATTTGAGTTTGACACTAGAACTCTGGTGGAATAGCTCACGCCTGTAATCTCAGCGGCTCAGGAGGCTAAGGCAGGAGGATCCTGAGTTCAAAGCCAGCCTGAGCAGCTCAGCAAAGGCCCTATACAACTCAGCAAGACTCTGTCTCTAAATAAAAAATAGAAATAAAAGGACTGGTGATGTGGCACAGAGGTTAAGCACCCTTGGATTAAATCCCAGGAGACTATTTTGAAACTCAAGGCAGGCTGCAAAAGAATAATACAGGAATATTTAAAGGATAGATCATTAGTAGTATTGTTAATGTTTTTGTTACATATGATTTTATCAAAACCACTATTTCCAAAAGTTTGTTCAGGAGAATGTTAGGTCCTTGGATGTTTGTGGTAATTATGCAAATAAATCCATTTAATGTACTTTTGGGAATGCTAGTCTAAATGTATTCAGCTAGATTTCTTAATTGCATGATTTCTCAGAGCCTTTGCGTGGTAATACATACGCACATACATGGTGTGTCTTGAGGATAATGGCTTTTTATAAATTTACTTGAAAAGAAACTTTAGCATAGTTTTTGCACAGTTTTTTAAAGGACATTCTGAGTTGGATCCTTAAACTTGTAAGCATGGAACTGGGAGTTGAATGATGTTTTATGTGTTGAGCATATTATTAGTCAGATTAGGTATATGAACTTGCAGCCCTGCTTCCTGTGGAATGATGGAAGAAAACTGAGTGCTGTACATATGTAGAATACATAATAACTCATTCTTAAAGATTATGATGAGTGTGTACTATTTACTAAGGCTTTAAAAAGTTGAACAGTTTGCCTGGGATTTGAACCAAAATTGTCTATTCGAGAACTCTTATTCTTTCCATTATTGAATGCAGTCTCTGTAATGAGACCACAGTGTTTGGTCTTTTTTGCTTGGCTACTTTATATATTAAATAGCACAGTTGATATGAAAACATTTCAGTCAATATGAAGTACCATAAAAGTATATATTAACAAATTTCAACTTATGTCACCTCTTGGAAATAGGTTTAGTTATAGATCCTTGGACAAAATAAAGCCTTACCTTATTTGGGTGTTTGGTTCAACAGTGAGTGTTTACTGTAAAAAATCAAGCATTGTCAGAAATTGCCTTTGAAGTACCCTTAGAAAGTGAATACTCTAGAGCTTGCCCATCTCTTTTTTTCTTTTTTTTTAATTAGAGCTTAATGGTTTACATAGTTGTTGGGTTCATCCCAGCAAACTCAGACATACATGGAAATAGACTTCAGTTTCTCTACGTAAATCAAATGCAGCTCGTTTTTCCTTTATGGATGAAATATTCCTGCTTCTTCCCTTGAGCATCAGATGAAGTAGTTATTTGGGATTTTGTGGTGATAAATGAATAATATGTCATGTCAATTATTAGCCACACACTGAACCACTCAGACTGTAAAACACACTAGGGAACTGAGACTGCCCCCTGGGAATTGACTTGGGTAGAATGGTAGACAGATTGCCAACACTGTTGTTATATTTTCCCTTTTTCTTTTTTTGCTGAGTACTTGAAAGTGTTTGTGTGTACACACACACACACACACACACACACACATACACAAATACAATGCCATGTAAGTACATAATGTAGTGCCAACAGTTCAGGATATCTTATGAGATGCCATAGAACCTTCCCGTTTGGGAAGTAATGGTCTCTGTTTAGTCGGTTGCTCTGTTAGGGTATGCCTTTAGCCCTAAGGTTCCAGGGAACATCAAACAGTGGTTGAACTTACCAGCTATTACATCTTTCTCCCTCGCCTCTTTTTTTTCTTTTGCCATAGTAGGGATTGAACCCAAGCCTCATTCATGCTAGGCAAGCACTCTACCATTGAACTACATCCCTAGCCTTTTTAAATTTTTATTTTCAGATAATCTCAGTGAGTTGTCCAGGTTAGCTTCAAACTTGCAATCCTCCTGCCTCAGCCGCCCAAGTATATATTTTATTTTCTAAGTCATAAAATTTTCAGATTTCTCTCTACTAATGCTATAACTGGCTAATTTCTCATAGAAGTTGATGATTGCAGGTTCTTTGTGAGAATCATTATGATTGATTGAGAGCAGAGCCAAAGTAGAACTCAACTTTATCTTTAGAGTTCCCACTGCATCCTCAAAGTCACCAGCCCTGTACCTAATGGCAGGCTATGTATCTCTAGAGTTGCTTTTTTCTGCTACTGACTCTGATCTTTACAGTGTTGATTTCCCAACATTTTTTTTGGTCATCAAATACAATTGCAGCAGGCACTGCCAATATAAATTTATGTATATATATCATTGTACTATTACTAAGTTTTTAAATAAAATGAGATGACACTCTAGTCAGAATGGTAGCTATTAAGAATACAAACAGTAAGAAGTCTTGGCCTGGATGTGAGGAAAAAGCCACACTCATATGTTGCTGATGAGACTGCAAAGTGGTGCGGCCAATATAGTGACCTTATAAAAGATGAGATTACAATAATAAAAATGACTGTTGTTATAGTCTCTTATCCATTGTATCATCTTGCATGCCCCAGTGTATGCACATACTATGGTGCAACCACTTGATCTTTGTCACTGGTGATGTAATATGCATTTTCTTTGTGCATTGTGTTATTCTACTGTTTTTAGTCTATGAATGAACTCCATCAACAGTCCTTGCAGTTATCCCATTGAGAAACCTGGGACTATTTCTGAATTTGGGGAAAATGATCTCTCATTCCCTATTTTTTTTTAATTTTTTTTAGTTGTAGATGGACACAATATCTTTTATTTATTTTTTTTTTAATTTTTTTTTTAGTTGTAGTTGGACACAATGCCTTTATTTTTATGTGGTGCTAAGGATCAAACCCAGCAGCTCGCACGTACTAGGAGAGCACTCTACCCCTGAGCCACAACCCCAGACCCTTTATTTATTTATTTTTATGTGGTGCTGAGGATCGAACCCAGTGCCTCACACCTGTGAGGCAGGCGCTCTACCCCTGAGCTTCAGCCCCAGCCCCAAAAATGCTCTATATTTAGAGTTAGTACACGTAACAATAGTTGTGATAGTCTATAAAGTTGCTATGAACACTGTTAATGAATACTGAATCTTTATTCCTAAGTTTCTACAAGCCTCTGGTCATATTTTCAACTGATCAATGGTAACCTTATTTTACGTGTGTTTCTGTTTGTCTTATTTAGTATGTATTATTGATTTGTTAACAGTGAGTCACAGCCAATAGCACTGTAACTAATGCTTAAGCACAAAGCTTATCTAACATGTACTTTTTCCACAAGGTACCTCATAGCCTTCTTGAATTGGAACTCTAGATAGTTCTTTAGCACTTTGCTTCATTTGTAAGATTGTGGTGCTAATGGAGGATGGTAAGACAGTGGTTAGGAGCTGGAGTTTTAGCTTAAAGAACAAGGTGTTTGGCAAAGTTTTGAACAAGACTAAGGGGAAATACTGTTGCTATTATTACTATTGTTTTATTGGAAATATAACAGAAATGCCTGACAAACCAAAAATCTCATTTTTTTAATTTTTTGAGGTGGGTTCTACC